ATTACTCTTCTGTAGAAAAAAAAACACTTTGCTTCTCTCATCTTATTTCTTCAGAAGACCTTTAGAGTAATTGGATAAAATTCTTTTAAAAATAATCTCATTGGGATTTTGATTGAATTTGCATTAAAACCACAATGGAACTTGGATAGAATTAACATCAGCACAACATTCAGACTATCTATCCAGGAAAATAATTACTCTCAGGTATTCAAGCATGCTTTAAAAGATATATTTGGGCCTTAGGGGTACGGGATTGGATTACTCATAGCCGCTAGTCCTTGGCACACACTACAGTTATGTGGGCCCAGTTATTAAGCTATTATCTCTTGGTTTCAAATTCACTCCCTTGTGAATCTGGGACTCTGCAAACCTCGCTTCTTCTTTGCCGACTGGCTGTGTTCGACTCTGCCAATAGGGGGCACCAAAGGGACTGTAGAAGCCTGGAGGAAGCAGTGGGACTGGGCTCTTCCGGTTTGCTCTTTGCTTATTTCCTGTCAGTTTCTTGTTCTCATCAGCATCACCCAGCACAGCTTCTTTACCCCAGCTGAGGCAGTTCCTTCCTGTAGCAGCTGCTAAATCTAGTTTGCAGTTTTTCCAAATCTTGCACACCCTCACAGATGCCAGCACCATTTCAGGGTTTTTCCAAGGAAGGTCCTAGTCCCTGGTGGTCCTCTGAGGTCAGATACAACTGCACCATCTGAACAGTCCCCTCCTCCTCATGGTCTGAGTTTCATCTTCAGTGCGCCTCTCATCCAAGTGTTTAGTTTTCGTAATTCTAACCTATATCCTTTGTTTTTCCTGCACCAGGGGTGTTAGCTGCTTCCCGTAGTTACTACGACCATGATAGCATAGGGCTCTCTTTTTGCCTTTTCAGTTACCTGGTTACCAACACTTCATACCTAAGTAACATTTCTTTATATGAAATCATCTCTGTGAAAGTAACTGGTGTGATTTCTGTCTCCTGAATAGATCTTTTTTTAAAAAAAAAAAAATTTATTTATGGTTGCGTTGGGTCTTCGTTGTGGTGCGCGGGCTTCTCATTGCTGTGGCTTCTCTTGTTGCAGAGCAAGGGCTCTAGGCGCACAGGCTCAGTAGTTGTGGCTCGCAGGCTCTAGAGCGCAGGCTCAGTAGTTGTGGCGCACGGGCTTAGTTGCTCCACGGCATGTGGGATCTTCCCGGACCAGGGCTCGAACCCGTGTCTCCTGCACTGGCAGGAGGATTCTTAACCACTGCGCCACCAGGGAAGCCCTCCTGAATATGTCTTGGCTGACATCAATATTGGCAAGAAGCAGATTGTCAAAAGATGGGGTTTGGAGGTGGTTTAGTTGTTTTTTAGGATTTGAACGTAGTGATGAGCTCCTTGCCAAGAAATGGGATGCTAGTAATCCATACTCTGCAGTGGCATCATGGTAAATCATATATTAGCATCCATGTTGACTGTGATGAGGTTCCAACTGAAATAAGTGACTTGGGTGATCAAGTAGCTACTGCAATTAACCTTTAGGGCACTAAAAATGCCCTAAAGGTTACTAAAAATGGGCACTAAAAATGGCCACAAGGAGAGTGATATTGAGTCTTTTACCATGTTTACCTTTTTTAAATTTTAATTTTTAAAATTTTCTATTTTTTGGCTGTGCCGTGTGGCTTGCAGGATCTTAGTTCCATGACCAGGGATCTAACCTGTGCCCCCTGCAGTGGAAGCATGGAGTCTTAACCACTGGACTGCCAGGGAAGTCCCTCAGTTGAGCCTTGACTGCTGTGGTTCTTGGTGCAAAGAGTGACCTCAGGAAACAGATCCCCAAAATGGGATTCTGGGATTAGGTGTTCATCTGCTTGAACTTCAATGAAATGATATCTATGTAGGGGGAAAATGGGATTACAGTTATCCCTAGGATACATTGTCTCTAGGAGGAATATAAAATGTTGTAATTCTGGTTCTTTTACCCATTAACTATGTATCCTTGTGTCAATAATTTATCCTCTCTGGACCTAGTTCCTCCTCTGTAGCTTCCTCAGTTCAGGTTGCTATAACAAAATTCCGGAGACTGGATAGTGCAAACAATTTATTTCTCACAGTTCAGGAGGCTGGGAAATCCCAGGGCAAAGTGCTGGCAGATTTAGTGCTTGGTGAAAAGCTTGCTTCCTTATTTGCAGATGGCTGCCTCCTTGCTGTATCTTCACAGGGTAGGGAGAGAGATTGTCTCTTCTTAAAAAGGCACTAATCCCATCATGAGGCTCCACCCTCATGACCTCATCTGATTACCTCCCAATGGCCCCATCTCTAAATGCCACCACATTGGGGATTAGGGCTTGAACATATGAATTTTGAGGGACACATAGAGTCCATAGCACTATATAAAACAAGAATAATTATTCATCCTCTGAGAGATTTTAGATCCCCCAGTTCCCACTGTCTTGTTGGTACAAACAGAACCACATTAATAAATCTCCTATCTGCTATCTTCAAATCTATAAATCAATTGGAGAGAAGTAACATCTTTATAATGACATCTTATAAACCATGAATATGGTATAACTCCCCATTTGTTAAGGTCTTTAACTTCTCGCAATAATATTTTAAAGTTTGATGTAGAGATCATAATTTATCTTTTGTTGGATTCCTAGACATTTTTTAGTTTTATGCTACTCAGAAATAGCACCTTTGAAAGTTTTTCATTTTCTAAACTTTCATCACTGGCATACAGAGATAATTTTTTTACGTCACCTTTTATTCAGCTTCCTTGCTAAACTCACTGATTTTTAGTAATTTATAGATTCTGTTGGATTCTCTGTGATTATATGTACAGTTATGCCATCTCAGAATAATGATAGTTTTCTTCCTTTCCTATCCTGTAGTCTCTCTTTTCTTACCTTATTGCAATGGTATTAGGAGAATAGGGGTTACCTTTGGGGTAGAAGGAAAGGGTAGTGATTGAGATTCAGGGAATGCTGGTCAGGTGTAGTTTCTAAATCTCGGTGGTGGTTAACACAAACATGTCCATTTCATGAATTCATTGAGCTGTTCACTTTTTTTTTTTTTTTTTTGGTACGCGGGCCTCTCTCTCTTGTGGCCTCTCCCGTTGCGGAGCACAGGCTCCGGACGCGCAGGCTCAGCAGCTATGGCTCACGGGCCCAGCCGCGCTGCGGCATGTGGGATCTCCCTGGACCAGGGCACGAACCCGTGTCCCCTGCATCGGCAGGCGGACTCTCAACCACTGTGCCACCAGGGAAGCCCTGTTCACTTTTTTTTTAAACGACTGGCTTTTTTAAAAAAAGTATTTATTTTTGGCTGCACTGGGTCTTTGTTGCTGTGCACAGGCTTCTCATTGCGGTGGCTTCTCTTGTTGCAGAGCACAGGCTCTAGGCCCGCGGGCTTCAGTAGTTGTGGCACACGGGCTCAGTAGTTGTGGCTTGTGGGCTCTAGAGCACAGGCTCAGTAGTTGTGGCGCACGGGCTTAGTTGCTCTGCGGCATGTGGAATCTTCCCAGACCAGGGCTTGAACCCGTGTCCCCTGCATTGGCAGGCAGATTCCTTTTCTTTTTTTTTCCGGTACATGGGCCTCTCACTGTTGTGGTCTCTTCCATTGCGGAGCACGGGCTCCGGACGTGGAGGCTCAGCGGCCATGGCTTACGGGCCCAGCCGCTCCGTGGCATGTGGGATCTTCCCAGACCGGGGCACGAACCCGTGTCCCCTGCATCGGCAGGCGGACTCTCAACCACTGCGCCATCAGGGAAGCCCGGCAGGCAGATTCTTAACTACTGCGCCACCAGGGAAGTCCAAGCTGTTCACTTTTTTTTTTTTTTTTTTTTTTTTGCGGTACGCGGGCCTCTCACTGTTGTGGCCTCTCCCGTTGCGGAGCACAGGCTCCGGACCCGCAGGCTCCGCGGCCATGGCTCACGGACCTAGCCACTCCACGGCATGTGGGATCTTCCTGGAACGGGGCATGAACCTGTGTCCCCTGCATCATCAGGCAGACTCTCAACCACTGCACCACCAGGGAAGCCCTAAGCTGTTCACTTTTAACTTGTGGACTTTTCTGTTTATATTTCAACTGTACATTTAAAAATAGTATTAGTGTGGTGGTTTAAAATATATACACAAATTGACATTCTCTTCAAAATATGTCTGCAGATTCTTTGACACACCCTGTGTGTATGATCTGGACTTAGTGACTCAGTTCTAGTGAATATAAAGAGAAAATGATGGTATGTAACTTCGAAGACTAGGTCATTAAAGGCATCTTAGCTTCCAGCTTGTTCTTAGACTGCTTGCCCTGGGGGAAGTTAGCTGCCATGAGAAACTGAGGCCTCCAACCAAAAGCCATGTGAATGTGCCATCTTGGAAGTATAACATCCAGCCCCAGGCAAGCCTTCAGGTGACAACAGCCCCAGCTGATATCCTGACGAAAACTCTTGAGGACCCTGAGTCAGTACCATCCAGCTACGCCACTCCCAGATTCCTGACCCTCAGAAGTGTAAGATAATATGTTATAAGCAGCTAAGTTTTTTGGAGGGGAGGGTAGTTTTTTTACACAGTGGTAGACAATATCATTATCTAGTAAAAGTCATCCTAAAAAATGTTGGCTTGACAGGTTCAAACTGCACCACAGAACCTTATTTCTACCCCCTGCCTCCTTTTCAAAGAACTGTACTGGACTTCCCTGGTGGTCCAGTGGTTAAGACTCTGAGCTCCTAATGCAGGGGGCCTGGGTTCGATCCCTGGTCAGGGAACTAGATCCCGCATGCCGCAACGCAGATCGCACATGCCGCAACTAAAAGATCCTGTGAGCAGCAACTAAGACCCGGTGCAGCCAAATTAAAAAAGCAAATAAATATATAAATATTAAAAAACAACAAAACCCCAAGCAACTAAAGAACTGTACCACCATCGACACCCTTTTCGCTGAGGACCAAGTCATAGTGAGCACAGAGGCTGGTGCATGGTGTGTGTGCAATTTTACTGGCCCTCTTTTGGTGCCAAAAAGGAGATGGAATTCATGCCAGCATGAGGGGCCATTTATTGCTCAGGGGTTGGGCCCCCACGTTTTGGGGGAGTTCCCCCATCACTTCCTCCCCCCATTGTCCCCATGGACCCCTCAAGTGGCAGGTTGCTGAGTTGATCGTGGAGAGAGCACATCTTCAAGTGTAGATAGTCCAGAGCGGCCACCTTCTCCCTGTAACGAGAGAGTGGGCAGTTAGTGCTCGGGAGGCCCGATGCCTCGGGGCTGGTGTGGAAGCCGGGGGTGACTCAAGCCCTTTCCCCAAGACCTCACCCTCCTCCCATGCCCTCAGCCTCCTTCCTCACTCCGGCTTCATCTTGTCTGTCAGCAGCAGGTTCTTGGCCCGCAAGGCTTCGTCTTGGGCCAGCCGAAGGGTGGAGCTCAGGGCCTCTGCCCTGACATGTTTGGCCAAGGCCTGGCGCTCCAGCTCCTGGGGAGAGGAGTGTAGGTGCTGCTAGGCTTACTGGACTGGGCTGGGAGTGGAGGGGGATCTGGATCGTGGAGGGCAAAGGGCAGGGTCCCCTAGGGTCCGCATTCCTCCCCCAGAGTATCCCATCATGCCTTGAGCCTGAGGCTGACCCCAGCATCCCACAGTGCACTGGGCCTCCCAAGTCCCAATGTGCACTAGACTTGTGTCTGTCCCACTGTCTGTCCCCTGTTGCACTGGCCTTCTTTGTCCCTGTAAGCAGTAAGTCAGCGTCTATCACATTGTCCCCTAATGCCCATGAGCCATCATGCATTTGATGTCTGGGCCCTGGTATCCCATCACATGGTGATCATCTACATCCCATAATTCACATTATGGGATGTGACCCCCACATCTTATCTATTAGGCCAGTCTCTCATTCACAGTAATAGTCCTCAGTGCTCTGGTTCCCTATATCCCACAATGTACCAGCCCCCATGTCTATCATGTCTTAGTCCTCTAGATCTGCCACATGACTGTCCGTTACTGCCTCATTTGTCTGTTTCACCCACTACAACTCATACCCCATCATACATTAGGCCAATATCCCATAATATACTAGATCTCTATGTTTCAGAATGTACACCAGCCTCAAGTTCCATGTTATTGGGCCTGAGTCTGTGTGCAATGCCTCACGAAGAGCTGTGGTTCCATTTCCCATAATGCATTAGCTTACTGTGACTTGCTATTCGCTGGGTCCCCTCTCTGATCTCAGTGATCCCATATAATGCATTGCCTCTCTTAAGGCTCATAGAAAATCAGGCTTATATTCCATGAAGCTATAGACTGGTGTTTGTCTCCTCTGTCCCACAGTGCACCAGATCCATGTCCCATCATGCTTTGGGCCCATATCCATCACCCATATGACTCACTAAACACCAAACAGCTCCCCTCTCACCCCGTCCCGAAGTATTAGAACCAAGCGTCCCCCCAACATCTGCTGCCCACAGCTCATCCTTCCCATCCTGCCACACACCAGAAGTATCCTTGTGCCTGGGGCTCCCCCGCCCTGCCCTGACCAAAAAGTGGGGCACAGTGGCCCATGGTCCTTGGTACCAGAATCTTCTTGTGTAGCCTCTGGCAGCTGGGGCAGGCAGGAACCAGGCCCCTCTGCTTCACCTCGTCCACTAGTGGGGTCAGCGCTCGCTCCAGCAGCTGCTGCAAGAACTCCGTGGACAACTGCTGTCCCTGGCTGGGGGAGGGGTAGTCACCAGGTGAAAGAGGCCTCGGACCAACTCCATTCCCAGGATACACCATGCCCATCTCCCCAGCCTCCACCCAGGTCCCATTTCCACTATGCACCCAGGCAACCTTCCCACCATGCACTGGGCCCAAACTACAGTTCATCTGGTATGCTCTGGTTCCCACAGCGTGGCGAGTTCTCACAGTGCCTGGGGATTTCCACCACACGGTCCTCGGTTCATCAAAAACACATTTCCCACAATGCACTAGTTAAAACCGATCCCATGTTGTACTGGAAATGCCCTGCACCCTTCCTAACACAGATCAAGCATGGTATCTGTCGGCTTCCCACACCCCAAGGTCTCATTTCCCTATGATGCACTGAGAAAACCTGCCTCCCACCCAGTACCACTGCCCAGCCTTCCCACAATGCACTGGAAATCCAAGATGCTCGAAACATATCAAGTCTTTCTTGCGTCCCACAAGACACTGACTTCACCTTGTGGGGAGGGAAGAAATGTGACTCCCATAATGCCGCGAGACTGGCCCATCCTATAATACATGGGGATGCCCTGTCTCCCACAATGAATTTCCCTCTCCACTCTTGCTAAAGTCTCATCTCCTTCAGTGCTTGTCCTCAATATGATGCAGAATGCACCTGGAGCCAGGCGCTGCCCCCTTACCTGGCACAGCGGGCACAGGAGCCTTGGGGGGCCCGATCCAGGTTCATAGAGCGGTCAGACCCTCTACGAGAGCTCTGAAAGTGCCGCCCAAGCTCCTCCAGAATCGGTTTCACTGGGCCCAGCGCCTCCAGTTCGCTCCTCAGTGAAGCCACAGACACTGCTGACCGCTCCACCCTGCGGTGTGAGAGTAAACAGTACAGTGAGGTCGCCTCTCCAACAGTATACAGGCCTCCTCCGATTTTTGAGTTCGCCTTACCCCACTTCATTTTTACAAAAGGCCTACATTAGTACCTGTTTTCACTAACCAAAATAAGTCCGAAGAGGATTTGCCCTTTTATGAAAAAAAGCGCAAAGCATTTGTTTTGTAGCAAGTTGTTACAGAAGCAGGACACACTCCAAGCAGCGAGGGTGGCGCCACCAAGCCCCTTCTCTGAGAACTACACCCAGTATCTCAGCACCAAGCCACCATAGCTTTGAACTCTGTTGTCTATGGGCACCTGTGCTTTATCTCAATTTATTTTGTGCATCTGTTAGCAAGATGTATTCTAAGGTAATTGCTTCTTCGTTTATGCTATTTTGGCTTACCGAAGGTTTCACAGGAACTGCTCTACTTTTGGATGGCAGGGAAACCTGTAGTCCCAGCAAGGCTCCACCCAAAATTAGCCCAGCACCTCTGTCTCCACCCAGTTTTCAATACCCCGCTCTGCCTTGGCCCCTCTGCTCTGACTGGTACCTCCTTTTGCGTTTTATTGTCGGGAATGTACCTCCCTGTTCTCTAATTGGTTTCCCCTGTTCCTACTTGGCTCCGCCCCTTGTCCTTGTAAGGTGTGGAACTCACCTCTTCTCTAAGTGGCTCCGCCCCTCAGTCCTTCTTAGGCATAACACGCCCCTCCCTACTCTCTAACTGGGGCTTCCACCTGTCAGTATACGCGCTCCATCCGATTGGCTCCAGCTGATTGGCCCACCCCTTTCCCTCAAGGCTTCGCTCTCCCACGTCCCCGCCCCGTGCGCTAGTCTGGGCCCTTACATGGTGCACAGCTCTTCCGTCCGGCCCCGCAGCTCTTGCAGGCCCCGCGCGGCCTGAGCCTGCTCGCGCTGCGCTCGCTCCCACTGGCCCAGGAAGCTGTCGAGCCTGCCGCCTAGGCCCCCGAGCAGCCGTAGGGCCTCCTGCACGGCCCCCTCCTCCTGATGCCACCGGGCGGTCAGTGAGGACACCTCCCTCCTGTAGGGGTAGCGGTAAGGAACGCGTCAGGGCTAGGTCTGGACACGCCCCCGTCCGCCGCGCCCCGCCAAGACCACGCCCGTGGCTCCGGACCCACCCAGTCCCCGAATTCTCCTGTCCTGTTCATTTATTGGGATCCTCGCATGTCCTCCAGAACCCTGCCTCTATCCCCTTATCAGGTATCCTGGCCTTCTCTCGGCCTGCCTCCCAGCCCCACATCAGCTCCTCCAGACATTGCTTCCTCAAGATACCGCTCGCGCCAACCCTGTCCCCCGGAGTTGGAGCCTCCAAAGACCTGCCACGTCCCCAAACCCGCCCACCTCATTTTCACCAGACGCGGACCCCCCTGCCACCGGCCCTGTATTCAAAACTCGGTTCTTCAAAGTCCTGCCCTTCCGGGTCACCGCCCCCAGAACGCTCGTCTTCGAGGCTCCAGCCCCTGGGCCCATCCCAGGATCCCACTCACCTCAGCTCCTCAAGGTAGGCAGAGACCTTCTGCAACTCCTGCTCGCTCACGATGGGGCCCTCCCCTGCCCGGGGCCCCATTCCCCAGCCGCCTGGGGCCAGGCCTCGCCGTCGAGGGGATTCGTCGGGGCTCCCTGGCGGGCTGGAGCAGCCTGGGGGCTGGGTGGCGAGGCCCAGGCCGTGGCGGGAGAGGCCAGCCTCCAGCTTCTGCTCCAGCCCCTGCAGCTCAGCCTCCTGCCTCCTGGGCGTCTCATCCTGCATCTGGAGGTAGCGCAGCTTCTCCTGGGTGGGGAAAGAGAGCAGGGTTACTGCGTCCGGCCCCTTGCCTCCCACCACTACCACCGCCTCCACCACCAAATCCGCCCAGTGAATTCCTGAGGCTGGAAAGTGAATGGATGTGGACACGGGATATCGGGAAGTCCCACCTGAAGTCTTAATGGACTCCCGCTTGCTGTTACTAGGGAGGGATGCCCCATTCGAAGCCCAGCTGGAGTCCAACTCACCTTGGACCGAATGCCTGCCTCTTTGTCTCCATATCTATCCCTCCACCCTCACTCTAATCCTCGAAGGCATCCAATTCCTGTCCCTCCTGTTTAGGAAGAACAGCTGAAGCTTTTCCAACATTTTGGTGGGAAATGAATGGGTATGTGGGCAGCACAGGCATTCCCACTCCAAGTCCGATACGAATCCCTCTCTCCGAGACTTGAATATGACTGTGCATGGAAAAGTATGACCATGAACATGAAGGGGCAGTGTGGTGGTGGTGGTGGTGGCAGGGCGGGAAGTCCCACCTGAAGTCTACCTCAAGTACCTCGGTTACTTGAGTACCTTCCTTAAACCCTTAGACCCCTCCCCCTTACCTCCAGCAGAGCAGAGTTCTGCTTCAGGACGTTGGTTTTTATTTCAGCATCTTCCACCGACCGGGTCACCTTCCGGCAGTTCTCCTGGGTCAGGACACCAGGGCGGGGCCCCTGCGTTCCCATTCCAGTTCCTTCTCCCAACCCTTACCCTCGCTATTTTCCATATAGCCTCCACCCCCCGCGTTTAAGGCACGCCCCCTCCTTCCGCAAGGTCTGCTTTCTGCTTATTGGTCTGCCCTTTGCCGGCTTGGTTCCCTTGGCTAAAGAATTGGTTCTTCCTCGGAACTCTGCCATGCTCCTTTTCCACTTCACCCCACCTGTCTCCTGTCCACCACTCCATTCCTCCCCACTTCCTCTCACCCTTTTCCTACTTCCGCTTCCTGCTCCCGCCCCGCTCCTGCCCCACAGCGGCTCACCTTGAGTTGACTACAGTACCCTTCTAGTTCTTCCGCCTCTTGCCGCCTTCTCTCTAGATTCTCACTCAGCACAGAACACTCACTCTGGAGCATGGAAGGGAGGAGGGGTTAGCCAGGGCCTCAAGGAGACACCCCGTGGGGAGGAGAGTCGGGAAGCTTCCCTTCTGAGCCTCAGTCTCCCCAACTGGGCTATGGGTGCATTGAGTTGGAGGATAGCTCTGAGAGGGCAGCGTGACCCTGGGGGAAGAGGAGCTGTTGCGGGAGGGGGCGGGTGGTCCTCACGACCTGCAGCGTCTGCACGTGCTGGTTAACCCGGGTGGTCTTTTCCTTCAAGCTGGTGATGGAGTCTTTGGCGTGGACCAATCCACTGTTAACCCAACTCTGGGGAAGAACGGGAGACAGGTGGGTCAGTGGGTGCGTGGGAGCAAACCACAACCACAAGAGAAAGTCTAGAACTAGCTTTACACCTTGATTCTGCCCTGAAATAGCTGTGGAATTTGGGGCCAGGGCTGCGCCTCTTTGATTCTTGGTATAAAACCAGGGGGCAGCCTCGTTTTCTGCTTAGCGGATGGCAAGAAAAATAAGTAGGATCCAGGAGGGAGTGCGGGGTGGGGAGCTCAGACATGGGGGAGGAGGAGGATGGTCTTAACCTGAGATAAATGCCTTTGGGGTCCACAGACATAAATAAGATTAACTGTTAAAACACATGCCTGTCTTTCCCTCCAGGCAGTGAAGAATTCTAAAGACAACCCACTTTCCAGATATCAGCACTCACTATGCACCAAGCCAAGCCCTTACCCACATTTTCCTTTTTATTCCTCACAACCACACCTCTTGAGGTTATTTGCCCCATTTTGCAAGCAAGGCAAATGAGGCCCAGAGAGGGGATGTCCCTTGTACTCCCAGGTACACGAGACAGGAGGTGGCCTTGTCAGAATTTATGCTCAGAGCCTTTGTTTCAAACCATGACGCCATATGGCCTCTGTTCATTGCTACCTTATGTCACCATAAAATGCTTTGTGACTCCTGTCAAACAAACTGGCTCAGGAGGGATGCATGTGATAGGATCTCCGCTCTCCCATTTCCACATTTATAGAAGAGTTAGCCTGGTACATCACTGCTCAGCCAAAGACTACAATTCCCAGCTGCCCTTACAGCCAGGTGTGGCCATGTGACTAAGTTCTGGCCAATGGAATATGAGTGGAAATAATGTAGGCAATTTCCAAGTCATGCCTTTAATAAAGAAAAGTAGGGAGCACACCTCCCTTTCTCTCTCCCTACAATGTTGATAGCTAAAGCCAGAGCAGCCATCTTGGACCATGAGATGGAGGACACAATATAAAAGAAGACTGGGGCTTCCCTGGTGGCGCAGTGGTTGAGAGTCCGCCTGCTGATGTAGGGGACGCAGGTTCGTGCCCCGGTCCGGGAGGATCCCACATGCCGCGAAGCGGCTGGGCCCGTGAGCCGGTGCGTCCGGAGCATGTGCTCCACAACGGGAGAGGCCACAGCAGTGAGAGGCCCGCGTACCACAAAAAAACAAAAACAAAACTGAATCCTCAACCCTATGAAGCTGCCATACTTAATTCCAACCATTTATGAATACTTTTATATATGTAACCAAGAGAACATTTTCCATCTTGTTTAAACTATGCTACTTTGTACCTTTTTGTTACAGCAGCCAAACTTGTGACTTAATAGCTGAGCCCCCAGAACACTGGAGCCTCTAACCTCCTGCATTTGAAGAGACCTGCTATACTTGAGACATTTATGTGAGCAACAAACTATCCTGCTTCAACCAGCTATTTTGGTTTCTTTCACAGCTGCTGAACTAATACACAAAGAGAGAAGAGAGAGCAAAAGCTTCCTCCGTTGTAAAATGGGAACGACTTCACATTTCTTGCATAACTGCATAACAAGTGTGATAAGAAATATTGTATTAAGCTGACATCAGCAAAATGGTGGAGTGGGGAACCCCCAAATTCCACCCCTCCAAACTGGCCAAAACTGTGAGTCAAGTCACTGAGGGGATTATAACAATCATAAATATATATGCACCTAATAGAGCTTCAAAACACATGAATCAAAAACTGTTAGCATTGGGAATTCCCTGGCAGTCCAGTGGTTAGGACTCTGTGCTTTCACTGCCGAGGGCCCAGTTTCAATCCCTGGTCAGGGAACTAAGATCTGCAAGCCCCACAGCATGGCCAAAAAGAAAAAAAAAGACACTGACAGAATTGAAGGGAGAAATTGACAATTTAACAGTAATGGTTGGAGACTACAATACCTCACTTTCAAGAATGGATTGAACAACTAGAGAGTAGATCAACAAGGAGATAGAAGACTTGGACAACACTATAAACCAACCAGACCTAACAGGCACCTACAGAACATTCCACCCAACAAAAGAATACACATTCTTCTCAAGTGAAATTAAATGTTGTTCATATGGTCGAGGACAGACCATATATTAAGTGACAAAACAAGTCTCAATAAATTTAAAAGGATTTGAAAACAAAGTATGTTTTCTGACCTCAATGACCTCAGTAGAATGAAATCAGGAATCAACAGCAGAAAGAAATTTGAGAAACTCACAAATATATGGAAATTAAACAACACACTCATAAGCAGCCAATGGGTAGAAGAGGAAATCACAAGAGAAATTATACTTAGGAATGAGGGAAAATGAGAACACAACATACCAAAACTTGTGAGATGCAGCAGAGGCAATACTTTGAGGGAAATTTAGAGCTGTAAACACCTACATCAAAAAAGAACTTAAGGGCTTCCCTGGTGGCGCAGTGGTTGAGAGTCCGCCTGCCGATGCAGGGGACACGGGTTCGTGCCCTGGTCTGGGAGGATCCCACATGCCGCGGAGAGGCTGGGCCCGTGGGCCATGGCCACTGGGCCTGCGCGTCTGGAGCCTGTGCTCCGCAACGGGAGAGGCCACAGCAGTGAGAGGCCCGTGTACCGCAAGTATAAAAAAAATAAAGAACTTAAGATCAGTAACCTAATCTTCCACCTTAAGAAACTAGAAAAAGAAGAGACAACTTAACCCAAAGCTAGCAGGATGAAGGAAATAATAAAAATTAGAGTGGAAAAAAATGAACTAGAGAATAGAAAAACAGTAAGAGAAAAATCAACAAAACCAGAAGTTGGTTTTTTGAAAAGGTCAACAAAATTGACAAATTTTAAAGCTAGACTGACCATGAAAAAGAGGAAGAAGACTCAAATTACTAAAATCAGGAAGGAAAGAGGGGACATTACTACTAATCTTACGGAAAGAGAAAAGATGACAAGGGAACACTATGAACAGTTGTATGTCATCAAACTTGCTAATCTAGATGAAATGGACAAATTCCTAGCAAAACACTAACTCAAGAAGAGCTCGGACATCTGGATAGACCTGTAATAAGAGGTTGAGTTAGTAATTTTAAAACTTCCAACAAAAAAAGCCCAGATGGCTTCACTGGTGAATTCTACCAATCATTTGAAAAAGAGTTGCTGCCAATTCATCTCAAACCCTTCACAAAAACAAAAAAACAAAAAAGCAAGGCCAATGTTACCCTGATACCAAAAGCAAAGACATCACCAAATAATAAAACTACAGATCAATATTCCTTCTGAAAGCAGCCACAAAATTTTCAACAAAATACTGGCAAACCAAGTCCAGCAGCATATAAAAAGGATTATACACCATGCCAAGTAGGATTTATCCCAGGAATGCAAAATTGGTTCAACGTGAAAATTAACCCACGTAACATTCCGTATTAGTAAAATATAGGGGGAAAAAATACAACCATGTCAATGAATAGAGAAATAGCATTTGACAAAATCCAATGCCCTTTCATGATAAAAACACTCAACAAACTAGAAGCCCAAGGGAACTTCCTCATCCTGGTGAAGGGCACCTACAAAAAAGAAAAAAATCAAAAACCAATAAAACCCACACAAAACCATGGTGGTTTAAAATATGCCCACAAATTTTTTGAGGCTCTTTTAAAATGTGCAGCCTTATTCCCGTCACTTGAGTGTCAGCTGGACTTAGTGACTCATACCTAGTAAATACAATAAGGCAGAAGTGATGGTATGTGACTTAAGAAATGAGTTCATAAGAGGAACCATGTCTTCCTTCTTGCTCGCTCTTAATCTGGAGAATGATAGTTGCCATGTTCTAAGCAACTACCTATGGAGAGGCCCGTGTGGCAAGGAACTGAGGCCTCCAACCAAGAGCCACGTGAGTGTGCCATCTTGGAAGCCCAACCTCCAGCTCCTGTCAAGCCTTCAGATGACTGCAGCCCCTGCCAAAATCTTGACTACAACCTCATGAGAGACCCGAAGCCAGAACCACCCAATTAAGCCACTCCAGGTTTGTTGTTTTAAGGTCGGGAATCATTTGTTTCACAGCAATAGCTGTGATATTTTTAAACTGAAGACCCAACGGTCTTGGATTTCCCATAGGTAGCTGTTCTGGGAAACTAGGGGAGCAGGTTCTGGAGTCAACTCAGTTCTTCCACTTACTAGCTGTGTGACCTCAGGGAAGGGACTTCACCTCTCTAAGCCTCTGTTTCCCTACCTGTAAAATGGGGAGGGACTAATAACTACCTTCACAGGGCTGCTGTTGGGAGGAACACAGGCTAACCCAGAAAGGCCCTTGGTCAATACTTGGGAAAAGAGAAAGTGCAGCTGGGGTCACTGGAGGTGAGTTTTAGCTTCACTGAGAGCAGATGTGGGGAATGGTGAAGGCAGAGGCTGCTAGCCCTGGCTAAAAAAGCGAATGGCGTGGTGGTGGTGGGGAGCCAAACCTGGGGATAAACCTCTCCTTGGCCATCCACATGCCATGCAACTGGGCAATCCGATCCCCCACTCTGAGCCTGCCTCGGTTTCCCTTCTTGTCAGATGGGAATGAGGATACCTTGCCTGGTGGGTGGTGGTGAGGAAAGGTCTAGAAGATGATAGGATCCATCAGCCAAGTGCAGTGATTAGCGTCAGCATCGTTAAACATAAAGACAACACACAGGACCTACCAGGAAAGGGCTTAGCACCAAGATGCTGCAGCAGCCTCAGGGAAATCTGTAGACAGCAGGACAACTTCCAAGCAGGGCTCAAAAGACCTGCTCTGGCCATTTCCGCATGGAGGCACTGACCTTCCCCCAAAGCAATACTACCTCCTCAGTTGCATCCTTCGGCCTCATAAAGATGTCAGAGCTTAAGACAGGAGCCAGGGAATTCCCTGGTGGGCCCGTGGTTAGGACTCCATGCTCTCACTGCCGGGGCCCTGGGTTCGATTCCTGGTCAGGGAACTAAAATCCCACAAATTGCACAGCACGGCCAAAAAAAAAAAAAAAAAGCCAGGAGCCAAAGCTGTTTGCTTCACCATTCTTCTGCTGACCCTCCATCCAGTCTGGGAATTATCACTCTCTCACCCAGGGTCTCCATCACTCCCAGGTTCTCTTCCTTTCCTCTCTAGTTCTCTGTCCCACCTCTCTCTCTGGTGTTCGTTCCTTCCTTCTCTGGGTCTCTGGCCCCTTCTAGCTCTGGTTTTCTGTCTCTGTCCCCCGGCCCAGGTCCCCGTCCTCCTCTCTCTGGGTCTCTGTCCTCCTTTCTCTCTGGGTTTCCGCCCCCGCCCTCTGCCCATCTCCAGCTTTCTCTCCCGATGTAGCTCAGATGCTGTGTGCCAGCCTGTGTTCTTCCTGCCCACCTTCCTGCCCATACCCTAAGGTGTTGACTGACAGTACTTTTTCCATTTTATGGAGAAGCCCCATAGAGGCTGATGCTCCCCTGCAGCCCCACAGTGAGCCGCAGCTGCATCAGACCTTGATCTTGGCCCCCCAGGGCTCTTAGGCATCACAATCCTCTGGAGGATGTGACTCAGAAATAGCTCCGGTGGGAGGCGGACCTCTGCAAGTGCTGCCTGAGCGATGCTGGAAGAGAAGGGGAGGAAAGTGTTCTGGCGGGAGGGGATGCCTCCCAGGCCATCCATCCCACCTGGACTCTCTCTCTCTGCCTGCTGGCTTCTCTCCACCTGGTCCTCTTACCCTGGACCCTCGCCCGGCCTCCTCTTCGGCCTGCCTGCCTCCAGTCTCTCCCCTCCAAACGTCTCCCACCCGGGGCCAGAGGCATCTTCTAGGGCTGGTCTTGACCCTGCTTCTTACAAGCTCTCTAACCTTGCAGGAGATCACTCCACCTCTCTCTACCTCACTTATTTTTGTTTTCATCTTCCTTGCAGAACCTCTAAGAGAGGAAAACGAGAGCCCCCCCCCCCGACCATAGGGATGTAGCACAGTGCCTGGAACATAGCAGATGCTCAGTAAATGGGCATGGAGCCCAAATGCCGAGTTGCTCCTGTCTCCTGCCCAGGAACCCTCAGTGGCTCCCCATTGTCCTCAAGAGAATGGAGAATGCCCACATTTCTCAGCCTCTGTGTCCTGTGCCCACCCCCTGCCAGCCTCACCTCTCCCACACACCACAATGTAGCCACAAGGACATGTTCCCCAGGCTCTTTTCAACTCCTGCCCTTTTGCATATGCTGTTCCAGCTAGGTGGAATACCCTTCCCTGTATTCTGCCTTCCTTATCTTCAAGTTCCAGCTTGTGTGCTGCCTTTTCTAGAAAGGCTTCCTTGACCATGGTCGGCTGGGCCAAGGCCTTTTTCTTCAGGGCTCCCACAGTGACCTCTACTGCCCCCAGCAATGCAGGTGCTGACTCCTAAGCCCAGCTCCACTACTTAGAAGCCGTATGACTTTGGGTATGCTAATTAACCTTCTAGGGCCTCAATATCTTCATCTGTGAAATGAGGATAAAAATAAGGACTAACTATTCCATGCATACAGCTGAATATTGTGCTAAACATTTTACATGAATGAATTTCATTTCATTGTCATGACAACCTCATGAGATGGGTGCAATTCTCTCCAGAACTCTGTTTTGGATGCTGCTATATTTCCTCTTCCTAGAGCAGTGCCTGGCACATTGTAGGTGTTTAAGAAATATTTCTTGAAAGAACAAACACGTGCATCTCCATTTTACAGATGAGGGCACTGAGGCTCCTGGAACACAGAAAGTGCTCAGTATATGCTAGTGAATCTTTTTTTTTTTTTTTTTTTTGTTTGACCATGCTGTGTGGCATGCGGGATCTTAGTTTCCTGAGCTGGGATTGAAGCCATGCCCCTTGCAGTGGAAGCTTGGACTCCTAACCACTGGACCGCCAGGGAATTCCCGCTAGTGAATCTTATTAGTATTCTGGCCGTGATTATTGTTAGAGTAATTCTCAGTGTCCATGTCAAGCCAAGTTCAGGGTCTGACTCAGGAGAAGCCTGGCAGGGGGTGGAGGTTGGTGGGAGAGTTAAAGGACCAAGCTGTAGCATTCTATGCTCTAGTCAGGAATTCTCTAAATTCTCCTAGGTCTTGCTCACCTCCCAGTTTTGCCCCACAGCCTGAGGTGGTCCACTCAGAGAACTCCTGCTTATCCGTCAAAGCCCAGGTCCAACACTGCCTCCTCCAGAAGTTTTCCCTGATACCCCTAGCCTGGTTTGAGGGACCCTTTTCTGGGATCCCCAGTGTTACCTCCATTATGGAATTTGTCACCCCAGTCTGTATCTGTCACTCCCACCAGACTGGGGACTTTCCTGGGGCAGGGACCTGGCCCGATTCCTATCTGTGACTCCAGCTTCACCCAGGACATTTGGAAGTGACTGAATGAAAAAAAGACCAACTCGCAGGCAGCCGGCAGCATTCACCCTGGATGGAGCAGATTCATGGCTGACTGTAGGGCCTCAAAGGGTGACAAGAACCTTCTCATTCCATATCAAGAAGACACCCCCCCTCCCAACCCATCCTCAGTATTTGCCTACCACCAGGGGAGAACCCTCGTATTCCCCAGCCCGGCCGAGGGCCCTCTCACCAGTATTTCCGTGATGTCTGGGTCATCTGGAGCCCAGGGTGGGATGGGCACGGGCAATGCCAGCAGGCCGCTGTCTTCCACGGTTGAGTCTGTCCCCGAGGAGTCGGTGGGCTCCATGGCGGCCAGGTTGAGCAGGGACACATTGGTGCAGGCTGAGGACCGTTTGAGGTTCAGGCAACAGTGCATTGGCTCATAGGACATCCGAGGCTCCACCCTAGGGAGGAGAAACAGGCAGGAGGGTCAAGATGCCACCCCAGCAGGGTATGGCCCCTCCCGCCTCCCTGTCTGCACGTTCCCTACTCTCTCTGATTTCAACCTCGCCGCCTGCTTTCTTCTTTCTCCTCCATCCCTTCTGCCTGTTTTCCTCCCTTTCCACCAGCACCCACAGTGGGACTTGTGCTCTGTCAGAGGCAAGGGCTGGGTGCTGGAACTGCCCCCGACGGGGTGTGACAGACCCACCCGTGGAAGGACACGGCCTTCTTTTTCTTTGAGATCCCTTTGACTGGGCTGGTCACACCCCCAGGAGCCTCGGGGACCAGCTGGGAGCGACTCTCGACCCCTGCGGGGGGGTCCCCAGCCTCATGGATCTCTTTGGACTGCCAGATCGTCTTCACCACCACGCTCGCCATGGCCTGTGGAGGGCCCGGCTCCCAGGGGCTCCTTCCTCTGAGGCTCTCCACCTACACTGACCACTGACCCTCAAGGTCCCCTTCCCCACAAGCCTGCCTCATAAAGGACCCAACCACTGGGCCCCAGTAACGGGGGGGGCACAAGGGTGGGGAAACGTGACTTGGCACATTCCCCAGGGGGGCTCAGTGAACTCTCGTTCAGGATTCTAGTTCCACCCTGATCTGTCCCTCCCCTTAGAAACACAGTGAAATTCATTCTAGTCCAGAACTTATAGTGGATGGACCCACTGGTTCTTGGGAGGGGTCCAAATTACCTTTCTCTGAAACTCACTGTGGGGTCACCCAGCCCCCCCATTCAGACTTGCTTCATCATGTAATACATTGGATTTGTCACTTTCCCAGGATCTGGGGGACAATGAGGATTGAATACCAGCACTGGAGGATCTTACATTCTATGGGGGGTTGGAAGGGGACAGGCAGGCAATAGGAACAAACCAAAAATACCAGATGTCCGAACGTGATATAAAGGGAATCAAAACTGGGTGATGGCCATGTGGACATTTGTCAAAGCTTGTCGATTTGTGCACCTGGGATTTGAGCCTTTTATTGTGTGTGAATTCTGCCTATTAAAGAATCTAAACAAGCACTGAACTATAGTTCATTATGTGCATGTTGAATATTTGGAGTTGTGTTAGACCCCGGGACTGCTGTAACAAAGTCCTGCAGACTGAGTGTCTTAAACCATAGATAGTTATTGTCCGGAAGTTCTGGAGGCCAGAAGTCCAAGGTCAAGATGTCAGCAGGGTTGGTTCCTTCTGAGGCTGTGAGGGAGAATCTGTGCCTCTCTCCTAGTATCTGGTATCCTTAGGTGTTCCTTGGTTTGTAGATGGCCATCTTTTCCCTGTGTCTTCACACTCTTCTCTGTGGAACTGTTTATCTCTGTGTCCAAATTACCCCCCTTTTAAGAAACTGGACATATTGGATTAGGGCCCACCCAAATGACCATGTCTTAACTTGATCATCTGCAAAGACCCTATTTCCAAATAAGGCCAAATTCACAGCTACTGTGGGTTAGGACTTGAGCATCTTTTGCAGGACATAATTCAGCCTGTAACAGGGTTGGTGAGTACTGATATCTGCAACTTTGTTTTATTCTGTTTTTTAATTGTTTTTTTATTGAATAAATTTGACTTTGTTGTTGTTGTTTTGTCTTTTGCCACGCTGCATGGCTTGTGGGATCTTAGTTCCCTGACCAGGGATCGAACCTGGGCCAAGTCCTAATCACTGGACTGCCAGGGAATTCCCAGACATATAGTGTTTATAAATTTAAAGTGTGTCTTACTTAGATACATTTATATATTATAATATGATTGCCATTGTAGCTATATTATCACATCATTATAGTACAATATTGTTATCTATATTCACTATACTGTGTATTAGGTCTCTATGGCTTATTTATTATTTGTTGCAAGTTTGTACCCTTAAACAACATCAATCTTATTTCCCACACCCTATCTGCTGATAACCACCATTTTAATCTTTTTTTACAGGTTAGACTTTTTAAGATTCCACATATAAGTGAAATCATACAGTACTTGTCTTTTCTGTCTGGTTTATCTAGCTTAGCATAATGTGCTCAGGGTCTGTCCGCGTGGCTGAAAACGGCAGAATATCCTCTTTTCTCACGGCCAGATAATATTTCATTGTGTGTCTATACCACCTGGTTGTTTCCATATCTTGGCTATTGTGAATAGTGCTATTTGTAACTTACTTTGAATGCATTAAACATACATGATGGGGAAAAAAAAAATACATGATGGGGGCTTCCCTGGTGGTGCAGTGGTTGAGAGTCCGCCTGCTGATGCAGGGGACGCGGGTTCATGCCCCGGGCCAGGAGGATCCCACATGCCGCAGAGCGGCTGGGCCCGTGAGCCATGGCCGCTGAGCCTGCGCGTCCGGAGCCTGTGCGCCACAGCGGGAGAGTCCACAACAGTGAGAAGCCCGCGTACAGCAATAAATAAATAAATAGATAAATAAACAAACAAACACATGATGGATTGATGGATGGAGGAAGGGAAGGCCAGATGGACTTGTGATAAAGCAAGTGGAGTAAAATGTTAATGCCAGCATTGGGGCGGTGGGATATATGGGTGTTTGTTGTACATTTTTTTCAACTTTCTGAATATTTAGAAATTTTCATTGTGAAATGTTGGAGAAGAAACTGGGTGATGGGGATGAAATGATATCATGGTGGGGGGGGCTTGCTTTAAAATAATCCAATGCGGGGTAAGGAAGTCAAATGCAGGGGATTATAAATGAGAGAATAAAGGTCATATGTTGATAACTGTTGGAGCTGGGTATATGGGGGTGCATTATACCCTTCTGCTTTGCAGGGGTATATTTGAAAATGTTCTATAACACATTAAAAAAGATTTTTTTTTTTTTTTTTGGCTGTGCCGCGTGGCATGTGGGATCTTAGTTCCACAACCAGTGTTTGAATACAAGCCCCCTGCATTGGGAGTGCAGAGTCTAAACCACTGGACCACCAGGGAAGTCCATTAAATTTTTTTTTAATTGAAGTATAGTTGATTTACAGTGTTTCAGGTGTACAGCGAAGTAATTCAGTTATATATACACATATATATATGTGTATATATATATATATATGTATATGTGTATACATATTCTTTTTCAGATTCTTTTCCATTCTAGGTTATTACAAGGTAGTGAATATAGTTCCCTGTGCTATATAGTAGGTCCTTATTGTTTATCTATTTTATATAAAGTAGTGTGTACCTGTTAATTTCAAATTCCCCATTTATCCCTCCCCCCTTCCCCTTTGGTAACCATAAGTTTGTTTTCTATGTCTGTGAGTCTATTTCTATTTCATAAGTTCTTTGTATCATTTTTTTAGGTTCCCCCTATAAGTGATATCACATGATATTTGTCTTTCTCTGACTTACTTCACTTAGTGTAATAATATCTCGGTCCATCCATGTTGCTGCGAATGGCATTATTTTATTCTTTTTCATGGCTGAGCAGTATTCCATTGTATATACGTACCTCATCTTCCTTAGCCATTCATCTGTTGATGGACATTTAGGTTGCTTCCATGTCTTGGCTATTGTGAATAGTGCTGCACGTTGGGGTGCATGTATCTTTGAATTAGAGTTTCGTCTTTCCCGGATATATGCCCAGGAGTAGGATTGCTATAACACATTTTTTTTTTTTTAATACTGGATAACGTGTTCAAGTACGACACGGAGAGGTCACTTTATTTTTTTATTTCTTTATTTATTGGCCACAATGCACGGCATGTGGGATTTTAGTTTCCTGGCCAGGGATTGAAGCCATGCCCCTTGTGGTGGAAGCACAGAATCTTAATCACTGGACCGCCAGGGAAGTCCCAAGAGGTCACTTTAAATCCCTAAATCCAGAAGTTCTCTCCTAAGAGGGGACATTGCATTGAGACCTGAAGGATGAGCCAGTCATGGGGAAAGCTGAGGTGGGCAGGGGGCAGGAATGAGTCTGGAGGGTCTTAATGGCCAAGAGGAGGCCAGTGTGTCTGGTGCATTTAAGCTGCGGAAGGACACAGCTGACTGATGTTGCAAAAAGCACCCTGAGTGGCCAGGATGGAAGCAGGGAGAATGGCCAGGGATGTCACTACAAGATTCTAGGCAAAAGATGATGGTGATGGTGGCCTGCACCAGGTGAGGCAGTGGTGATGGGAGGAGGTGGCCGGCTTTGGGGTGAAGGACAGGAGGGGGTCTGTCCTGGCAAGAGTGCCTGGGTGATTGATGGTGGGCCCAGCTGCCAAAATGAGAAGACTGGGGATGAGTCCAGTTTTTCTGGAGAAAATTAGGAGTTAATTTGTTCAGGTCAAAATCTTAAAAGCTATTGTGATTCAACCCCTGAGCAATTCGAGGAGCTCCTGGGGTTCCCTCTTCATGCTCCATCTTTTTTTTTTTTTAAAGATTTGATTTGATTTTTATTTTTTTGGCTGTGTTGGGTCTTCGTTGCTGTGCGCGGGCTTTCTCCAGTGGGGGCTACTCTTCGTTGCGGTGCGCGGGCTTCTCGTTGCGGTGGCTTCTCGTGTTGTGGAGCACGGGCTCTAGGCACGTGGGCTTCAGTAGCTGTGGCACGTGGGCTCAGGAGTTGTGGCACGTGGGTTCTAGATCGCAGGCTCAGTAGTTGTGGCGCATGGGCTTAGTTGCTCCGCGGCATGTGGGATCTTCCCGGACCAGGGCTCGAACCCGTGTCCTCTGCATTGGCAGGCGGATTCTTAACCACTGAACCACGAGGTAAGTCCCAATGCTCCATCTTGAAACCAAAAAGGACTTGTCTAAGCCTCATCTAGAACCCCATACATGAACTTGTTCATGACCTGGTCTTAAAACTTAGCAATGGGTCACCTCCTCAGCCCCCGAACCCCAGAATGGTCTTACTCAAATCCAGTCCTGTAATTTTCTGCTTTCCAATAATGGCCTTGTGGCTGCTGAGCGCTTGCGACGTGGCATGTCTCAGCTGAGCTGTGCTATATGTATAAACACCAGATTTCAAAGACTTAGGAAGATAAGAATGTCAACTATGTTGAAATGATAATATTTGGGTATATGGGGTTAAACGAAATATATTATTAAAATTCATTTCACCTTTTCTTTTTACTTTTTTTTTTTTTTTTTTAACGTGGCAGGAGTATACTGAAAACTGTATTTGTGGCTCCCACTGTATATCTTCTGGAAAGTTCTCTTCTAAATGGGCAGGGATGAGTCCATGAGCTCCTGTAGGTGGCGCCACATCCACCCCCACCCCCCACTCCCCACGCAGGATGCGACAGTCCCAGGGTTTTTCAGGTTAGGGTGGCTCTTCCCAATCTCACTCCTCATGTGTGCCCAGAATGCCTCTGCTTTACAGCCAATCTTAAAAATTAACTTTTGGCTAATTTATGAGCTCTAGAGGGGGTTGGAAGAGGACTGAGTTCCCCCACCTACCATGACAGGACTTAGAATCAGGACATCTTTCACCCCACAACAAAAACCCAGAGT